GGAGATGCAGCTCGTGAGGACGGCTGCATGGTCAGATCAGCAGCTTTGTCGGGCCAGTGACACCATGACTTGCAAGTGCGTGCTCGGCTGCCGAAAAACAGGTGAGCACGGCATACTTTCGGCTTCTGGTCAGGGTGGAACGGCGTGAGACCGAGAGACGCCCTTGAATCACGAGCACCACGAGCAGGGGAGTGTGTGGCGGCTCGGCTCTGCGGCTGAGTGGCCCTGTGGTACCTTGGGTGCTGCTGAGCCACAAGGAACGCTTGTGAGTCAGACTGTGGGTCCTGATCCTGACAGTGAACCATGTTAGTAGCTGAGTTTTGCACAAGAGGCATCAGCTCGTCCGCGAGTTTGCCCAACTGCGACAATGAGAGCTCGCTCTGAGAAGCCAGGGCCGTTGCAATGCCTGTAGGTAGCGACTGGATAAATTTGTGCCGAACGAGATCGTCTCCGACACCAACCTTGTCGGCCACCTCTCTGAGCTCGCTTAGAAAGAGTGAGGGGCGGCCCGTCAGACGCGTTTTGCTGATCAGTTTCTCAAACATCTCTGGCTTTGTCTTTTCGTACATGTCAGTGACGGCTGTCTGTAGCTCAGAGAAATTTTTGTTGCTCAAAACAGCACGCGGAATGTGCGAGATGGCTTCCGGAGGAAGGGCAGAGAGAACGTGGTAGAATTTTGTCTGCGAGTTGGTGATTTTTGCAATGTTAAATTGGGCGTCCATAATGGCGAACCAGCCGTCAACCGCGGTGTCCATAAAAACCGGCGGCTTGATCGAGACGTGATGGACCGGCTCAGCATGAGCGGGTTCCATCGTGTCCTCATTCGTAATGATCGTTAAAGTATAGCCGGTGTTTGCAATGCACTCAACAATTAAAATTTAAAACACCGAGTGCAAAATCCGAAAGAGCCAATGGAACGCCGAAATAAAATCACTGAGAAGATAAATGCCTAACTAATCACACGGCGGAGGGATGGCACAGAAACCATCATGGAAAAGTGGCGCAGAAGCCACTGTGGAGCGACGGAATAGCAATCCATGTTGGGGAATAATATAAAATAATTGATTCGGGAATGAGCGGAGGCGACAACCCGGAAGTATGGAAAAATCGAACAAGAATCACGTCGGGGTCACCAATATGTGGTGCTGTGGGGCAGTTCACCACATATCAGTGACTGGATTTTACGTTAATCAGAAATGGAAAATATCAACCTGGTGCGTGTTCCAAAAATTCAATCAGTTCGATCCAAACGGCCCCAAGTAAAAGAATTAATTTAAGAGCGGGTTGTTATATTTTAAGTTCCAAACGAAGGCAAAAACCAAAACAGCGAATCATGCAGTGGAGCGACGAAAAGACGAGAATGGAATCCGAGTTTGCCAAGAATGCCCTGCCTAATCTAAAAGTTCTAAATCCCGGACAGAACGGGCCTAATGGAGCCAGACGTGACGCGTCTGCTCGGGTCAAGAGCTAGGCCTAGAATGTCGGGAGAGCGCGCGGCCCGACGCAGCCGGCCGGGCCCCAGACATGCGCAGAAACACTCGGAGACCACGCGGCGACGGATCGAGCGCGGATTGGTCAGCAGACTGCAGCATTGCAGGCTGCAGACACGCGGTCGTCTCGTGAAAGGGTACAAGGTTCACTGGCGCGCCCTGGGCCGCCCCCAGCACCGGGGGGGGGGGGGGGGGGGGGGGGTAGCAACGTCACAACAAGTCGGCGCGCGAATCGGTCTGCGCCGGCCCGGGGACTCCCGTGCCGGCCGGCGACACACGTGGTTGTTACATCATCGAGACGAGGCAACGAATAACGAATAACGCAGGCGCACCACAGTTCGGTACGGGGACTCCCGTGCCGGCCGGCGACACACGTGGTTGTTACATCATCGAGACGAGGCAACGAATAACGAATAACGCAGGCGCACCACATATGACCCCGCCACCTATCGGACAACGTCGTAATTAGGGTTGAGTTGGAGATCGCCAGGTGGCTTGTCAGTAAGCTGTCAGCCGGACAGGAGAGGGGCCGTCAGGCGCTTAATATTATGTAAACGCCAGATCATGCTCAGGAAAATGCGACACGCTTAAGAACGGTCATTTATCTCGAAAAAAATGCGGTGCCCTGTGGTGATATGGCCCACATGACTCGGGACCCGTAGGCCGTATACGGCCTACGGGTCCCGAGTCATCAGGGGCCTTATAAGGCCCCTGTGCTCTTCGGCAGCTCCCAAGGCCCCTACGGACGCGATACATGCTTCGAAGATCGCTAGACAAAGGACTCAGGGGCGCAGCCAAGGGGGAAGGGCACACGTGGCTTTAGCCCCTTCCAAATCTAGCAGGCGCCCTCTGGAAAGACGCCATCCAGGGCGCCGCCTTCCACGATCATTCTGTGCGCCGATGGCGCATTTTCAGTGTCCAGCACTCTAGTCGCCCTCGACGGTAAGCCATTGCGACGTCATCATGCGGTACTGGCGCCCAGATTTACAATTTTATATCTCTTTGTGGGTGAAGATGCACCCACAATCCTGAAATGCCGGATATCCACTCCCAATCTCCTGACCATCTAGCGCCCTCGGCTCACCTTCAGCGCCCTTCTGTCTGCTCGGCGCCCTTCTGATCTGTCGGCGCCCTTCTGATCTGTCGGCGCCCTTCTCGCCCTTCAGCGCTCTCCTGGCCTGTCGGCACCCTCCTCACATTCGGCGCCCTCCGGGCAGACCAGTTAGCGCCCTCATGGACATTATCACACAGCATCCTCCTGATCTGTCTCGCCCTCCACACTTGTCAGCGCCGTCGTGACCTGGCAGCAGTAGCACCCTCCTGACCTGGCAGCGCCTATCGTATTATAGCGCCCTCCTCACCGTACAGTGCCCTCCTGACCTGTCGCCATCCTCCTCACTGTATAGCGGCCTCCTAACCATACAAAGCCCTCCAGACCGGCGCCCTCTACGTTCAGCGCCCTCCTGACAAGTCGGTGCCCTTTTCACTGCAGACGGCCCTCCTGATCTGTCGGCGCCCTCCTGACCGTACATCGCCTTCCTCACCTTGTCCGCGCCCTCCTCTTTATACAGTGTCCTCCTGACCTGTCATCGCCCTCTTCACTCGTATAGTGCCCTTCTCATCGTACAGCATCCTCCTCACCATGGGCGCCCTCCTGACCTGTCGGCGCTCTCCCCACCATACAGCGCCCTGCTGCCTTGTCGGCGCCCTCTTCACGGACAGCGTTCTCCAGATCTGTCGCAGCCCTTATCACCGTGCAGTGCCCTCCTGAGTCAGGAGCCTGTCAGCGCCCTCGCCTGTCGGCGACATCTTCGCGTTCAGCGCCCTCCTGACCAGCCTGCGCCTTTTGCAACGCATAGCGCCCTCATCACCATGCACCGCCCTCCCGACCAGTCAGCGTCGCCGTTCATCGTACAGCACCCTCCTGACCTGTCGGCGCCCTCCTCACAACACATCGCCCTTCTGACCGGTTAGCGTTCTCCTCACCATGCAGACAATGCAACACTTGACAATTAGGAAAGCGTTAAGTAGCCTATTCTTAACCCTCGCCGGCACAGGCCATTTTGCATCATTCGACGGTGGTACGACCCCCCTCGCGTTTGGCCCCTGATTGAGCTAGAGCTTCGCGGAAAAACGAGCGTGTTGCCCGTCACGAGAGGAAGCCGATGATATCCAATTTTAAGATCCTAGGTCATCGGGTGACCTTCCAGGTCAGGTCAATGACCCAAAAATCAGGAATATCGGGACCTGTTAGAAACTCGTAAAGTGTGGCTGCTATGGAGTTCTCCGGGGTGCTGATCACGAATATCGTGTTAGTTTTGATCAGAGATGATGTCTTTAAGCATTTAGACCAGGTGGGGTCAGGTCAGGTCAGGTCAACCGGTAGGGGTCGTGACGGGTATTCGTAATACGTGTCAACCGCCTCTGACAGCTTCGTAACATGTAACGAAGGCACCAAAACTACTTCGTAAATGTTCAAATGGTTACTAGATTCGAAATCAGCTCCAAAAACTAGCCTAGAAACATGTAAAACTCGAAAAAGTGAACCGAGGTCACCAAAGGTCATTGACCTGAGCTGACCTTCAGGTGACCTTGACATCCACCCTAATGCATAAGAGCAACATCAAATCACATGTTTGAACGTTTGAAACCACGAAAAGCTTGCAAACGCGCGGCTAATGCGAGCCGACATACGCCGAATCGCGATTCCGGCCAAACATGGTCTCGGAAAGTAGGCCACGGGTCAAAGGTCATTTGGGTCAGGGTCATGAAATTTTCAGGGTATGTGTACAATTGATCAATGCGAGGGTACTGAAAGTTTCGTCGCAATCGGCCGCTTTTTACGCGAGTTATTCGCGAAAAAACCTTAGGTGGGTTGCATCAACTCAACTCCCTGTGCCGGCGAGGGTTAAAGTGATTTTAGGCGCAAAGTAGTAATGAAGCAATTTCCGGAAAGTAAAAGGATGACAACGTTTGCAGCGTTTCCGGAACGTTTCCGGAAAGGAACTTGTTTACAACCGTGACCCTCAAAATCGTATTCAAGGCCAAACTTGCGGGGAAGGCCAGCTGACAAGTGTACGCCCCCGTGACGTCACGGGTAATGTTAAACAGTCGGGCGCCCGGCACATAGGAAAGCTCGGGATGACAGCCCCCTGACCCCTTGAACCACACGGCTTGTAATATTAAAGCATTGCATTAATATTTGAAAAGTGTGGTACAGTGCACGTGCCGTTTAAATGCCTGGATGTCTCGATTTAATCATGCAATGTAGCAGGTATGGGGAATCGCATACCTACGTCCTACGCTGGTAAAAATACACGTAGGCACTTCGAGTTCCCCGGCGTGAGTCAGCCCGCAGCCGCCGTCTTGCCTCAAGCCTGGTATTACGCCCGACGTCATTACCGATCCCCGTCGTCAGGGCGCCAAGCGGGCAGCCCTGACACCCCTGATTGTCGGTTCGGGCACCGGCTCGCCCGCGTGTCCAGTGACTGTGTACTTACTTACCCGCAGGGTGGCGGAGGTGGGGGCTCACGCGAGCGGCCGGCGGTGCGGGTCGAACGCAGGACGCCGGCTGCGGACGACGTCAGAGAACACAGTCACCTGGCGGCTGCCCTGCTCAGCAGCCAGCATGAGAGCATTGTGTGATACGCCAGTGACGAGATTAAGTGGATGGGGAACGGGATTTGTGTCAGATCTCAGTGTATATGCGAAACTCAAACTCATATGAGTGAACAAAAGGACATGTGTTTGGAAAGGGGACCGTGAATGGCGCTAAAACTCCGTGGACATGAAACTCTGCGTTCGCTCGCGAGCTGAGGGGGGGGGGGGATTGAAAACGGTGCCAGAAGTAAAATATTTCACTAGGTGTTGATTATTTATGGGCCCTGTACCAGCATGGAGTTGTGTGATACCGACAAAAGACGATGCTTAACAAGCGACGTGATACTCGTTCTAGCCACCTGCAGTGATTTGGTCATTATTGAATGCCAGTGACCCGAAAGGGTTTGATGCATAGCTTTTGGAATAAAATACAAATTAGGAGCAAACTGTGATTGGGGTTGGAATTATGTCTAACATGAAACTACAAGATCTCAATAGATGACTTAACCCGGCGGCCGCTGGGCCTCCGCGCCACCCGCCAGCCGCTGGGGGGGGGGGGGGCATATAGTTGCCCCCGCCTTACTTCTCCGATGATATCGTCGCAACGCGAAGAGATAGAGAAACGAAACTTTGCACACATATTCCTGAATACCTAGCCGAGGTGGTTGTGTTCAAATTTCGTGTCGATCCCACTTGAAATGACGTCACAGTGACGTCAGAAAGCCAATTATAGATTTGCGTCTCTGGGTTTCCTCACGATGTATCCGACATATGAGACCAAATATATAGGGCCGATCACTGGTCAGGATCTAGTTGAAAGTGTACTTAGATGTGTCAGAATGACAACAGGTGCTGTTTAGTTCATTTACCGCTGCGTTTCGTGGTCAGCGACATCGGAAACGCTCCATAACGGAAAACGACAAAACTTTATGACGTCACTGTGACGTCATCTTGAGGGCTATAACCACCAAACTTTCCTCAAATGTGCGCTAGGTATTCATTTGAAGCTATGCCAAGTTTCAGCTTCGTATCTCATCCGGTTTCGGAGATATTACACCAAACGTAAAGGGGGGCAACTTTAAGCCCCCCCCCCCAGCGGCTCGTGGGTTAAGACTAGAACGTTTTTCTTTATTAATAAATGTTTTGTATGCTCTGTAATAGGCATAATTTAGTGTGGTGATCACGCGAAGATGTTTGTCACAAATGCCATACAGTTGGTAAGCTTGTATTTTTGTGCCTACTACTGCCTAGATTATTGTAATGTGGATGAACTTCATCGTTGCTGTTACGTGGCACTCACCTGTTTGTATTTGTAATAAAATGATGAATTGCTTCATCGTGTGATGCTTACGTCTCACGTAAAAGCAAGCGTGCGTATCATTGCTACCATCTGCACAGGTATACACAGGTATATGCACAGGTCTCGCGGGTTTTAGCGGCAGTTTTTGCCCCTTTGAAATTTAGTATACTTCAGGCTATATCTTCTTCGTCTTAAGCTTTTAGGTATTGAAGATGCGATCGACTTGTTCTTTCACAATCCTGCCATGATCGTATAAAATGGTTTCATCGTAGATCGATTAGTTTCTGAGAATAACTTGAAATGTAAAAGGGCAAAACCTACCGCTTAGTCTCGCGAGAGCCGTACATACGAGTATATTAACCTGTTTACTACCACAATAAGAGGAGAAAACCGCACCTAGCAGTCAGCCGCAAATAGTTCGGATGAAGAGCTATCCGTCCTAAGTCTACCCTCTCAGCGATCACAATTTTCCTGTTCCGGGCTGGAGGTCACACAACAGATACCACCGCGTTGACGGCAGCTCCCATGGGAACATTTCACTTCTAGGTGACTGTTTGACTATAAGCTGTGTTACCTGGTCACCGGCAAACTTCTGTCCAAACGGGATAGGCTGCCTCTGCAGCACACCATGCCATCGTGTAGTCGGTTCAGTCAACATGCCACAAAAACATGAGCCGCCAGCTAGTAAATCTAAAATAAAATACAACATATTTTATATTGTGTTTTGGATTGGTGATAGCTTATATTTTGCGCCAAGCAAGGAACACTCTTAAACCGATAGTACTCATATAATTGATAAGGATCATGATGGATTTTGTATACTCTCTCACCAGATTCGAGCCATTAATAACGAGTAAACGAGGAACTAACTGCGTTACAGTTCCTTTCGAGAGACATATCTCCGCGGCTACATTAATCACTCGGACGATAATTCTTGAAGAAATGATTCCAAACTGAACTATAGCAGCCGGAACATAAAAGGAATGGACATAATTCGGTCGTATCTTATAGGGATGATTATTCTCAGGGGGCGACAGTCGACACGATTCCAAGCTGTATGTAGCAATGACCCTTGACCTGGCTAGAAGAAGTCTGGAGAAGAAATCATGCTGTCATGGCACAACTTGGCCAAAAACTTGTATCCTTTAACGGCATAGCCCTGGTTAGTCTTAGTCATATTTATACGGCTATTACTCTTCATTTCACATAAGGACGTCAATTCTTGCCTCATTCCCACGCAAAAATGCCCCGCGCCCGAAACATTGTCTGTAATCAATGTTTCAGGACCGCAAATCAAAGTGAGGGAGGTAGGGTGCGGATAGGGGAATGTGATTTGTATGAGAGGGGATAGGACTTAATAAAACGCACCACGGTATGTATCGAGAATCTATTACAACGGTGGTCAAAGTATGAATATATACAGTGACACGATGTAATCAAGAACTACATGTCAACAATTGGTAAGGGCGTATGCGTCCACTTCAGCACTTGTATACCAACGCGGGCGTCATTGTTTATGTCTAAATCACAGATACGTTTTGAATATTCCACATCAGACATCGTGAGTATTGGGACAAACCCGGTACGAGCGGGTGTGCATGCAATTCGACAGGTTCAATTACGGCACCGAATCTTGGCCGGGAATACAAGCTCAAATGTAGTTACGGGTCTCCAACAAAACGTAGCCCGAGTAGCCTTTTCTTACCAATATTTTCCTATTAATAATGTCACCGTTTTCCAGAATAAAACTGTACATTTTCTTTCGCAATTAATGTACACACACATTTGTCAGGTCTTCGAATGGAGTCGCAGCTCCGGCGCAACTCCCCGTCTGAGATTGTTATTGCTTATATCCGTTTGTGATTTGGATGGGTGTGCCTTCCGGGCTGGGCGGCACCCAGTGATATGGCGTCTGAGGAGGCCGCGCGGCCCACCAGCCACATCGTGACGAACCGACGTCCTGCCACGCACCTAACACACGCGCACGCTCACCGTTACCCCACGACAGCCACGCACGTAACACACGCGCACGCTCACCGTCACCCCACGACAACCGCTCTCACACAGCCGAATCACTTATACCTTCACAAACGGACACACGTTCACACGGTCCAAAGTCCAGCGCACAGCGGATGTCGGGCATAATAAATAATCCTAAATCAGCTGCCAACATTCAATTATTTAAAACAATAATCAAATAAGACGACTGCTGACATGTTAAAAAAAACTAAATACTCGATTCACTTTCCAGTAATATCCCCAACAAAGTTAGTCGACAGATTCACATCCACCTGACCTATGCTTCTTCACTCGCATCACACCAGCATGTAAACACATTTTACATAGGACCAAAACGCGCCTACCATATACGCATGGAACCAACAGCAAAAAGAAAACAACCGTGGGCAATCCTGCAAAATCAGTCCACTTGCCAGCTTTCCGAAATGTTTCGCCGATGGCGAAACTAATTTCTCGACATTGTCAAAGTCAGTGCATACATGCAACGCGTCCTGAGGCAGCTAACGCTTTTGTTCGGTCGTCAAGGAATGTTTCAACTATTAACTCACAAGTTTGGGCAAATATTCATGACATGGTATCAATATACGAGCAGACCAAAATTGCAGGACCAGCATGAGTGTTGCCGTGTGACATTCCCGAAAACCGTCAAACATAAACGAATCATAAGAAAATAACGCACAGGCAATAGGCATGCATACTATTTGGTAGTAGTTCATGTCACGCGCACTTTGAGGGGAAGGTGATCAAGTTAAGCATCATCGTTAACGGTATAAGGAACATGCGTCGCAAATTACCCATCCCACTTATAATACTATATAGTTGTGCACGATGCTTGGTATCGTATTGTGATAACAGAGACAAAGTAATTAAGGGATTTCTCTCTCTCTCTCTCTCTCTCTCTCTCTCTCTCTCTCTCTCTCTCTCTCTCTCTCTCTCTCTCTCTCTCTCTGTCTCTCTCTTTCGAATTAAAATGTAACAAAATGTGTCAGTATTCTGCCGTTAAGACCGGTATACGATTCGTCATGCTTCAGTTAAAGGGACTATCCCACCTTCTAAAATGTTGTTAAAACCAGTTAAATTGTGCCCGACTTTATAGATTGGATGACCAGGAACACGGTTCTGGCATTTATTTTTCATTAAACATCTTAGGCTTCCCATATTCCAAACACAAACTTTCAAATATGTGACGTCACAGCCCAAAATTACCTCCTTCCCCAGGCCACATTACTGCCATAAAGCTGATTCTTTTTACTCTGTAGGCACCACAACAAAGTTCAGACCAAGTTTTAAGCGATTTTTCAACGAACAAACCCATTTAAATCAGAATGACTAAACGAGGTGACGTCACACTAACGGTCGCTCCATGTTGAAGATAGGGCCTTGCGCAAGGCCCATTTTCAAATGAAGGGAACGAATTTCTTCAACACCAAGAGGCCGCGGGGGTTGCAACCTAGATAGATAGTGGTTTCTGAACCTCGCCGCAAACTTGGCTATCTCAACTCAAACCCCATGTTAAAGGTGGGATAGTCCCTTTAAGTTATATATCTTAACGGTAGCCATCGTAATGTTGAAGTCGCAGTACTAAATTTCGGACACCCTGCTTTCTGGAGAAGCCGAACGTCGCAAGCGGACCTTGGGAAATGTTCTTCGCGTAGTCATGCAAGATCAATCAGTCCGATAAGTGATCATATCTCTCCTAAATCTCATGGAAATCCGTCAAACATATGACATCAATATCTCCCAGAATAATACTTCCTATCAGTAATCAACAAGGCCGATATTGAAACGATCGGCAAAAATTCATTCGATATGAAATATACACTCGTCCATGTTCAGAACAATGAACATGAAGGCAAAAACGAATGTTATATACCTACAAATCGCCTTAACAACAGAGTGAAGTGTGAACGCGTTCGTCGCAGTCTGTCGTTGCTCCGTCAGGCGGACAGACTCGGACAACCTCGAGGACTTGGTGCGGAATTGCAGAGAAGGCAGAAGGTGCTGAGAGGCTGGCGTATACTGACACCTGGCGACGATCGGCGTCACTACAAGTACTCCTCGGGCGAGCCGGGCCGGTCGTCACCGTAAATGGGGTGCCGCCGCGGCGAGGAATCGCCCGGCCGTCCGATTTCGTCCTCCAGCATTCGCTGCACCATCGAGTCCGTCGGACTGTCCTCGCTCACTCGCGCCGTGGCCGACTGACACCGCGGCCTGCTCGGCCGTTTACCGGCAGCCGCCTCGGCCCCGGCGCCGGCACCGGACGGCCGAGTCTGGTTTTGCACAATCGCCTTGTCCGCTGCGGCGCCTCTATCGCCCCGCCTGCCGGCGCCACGGTCTTTGGACGGCCGCGAGCCCGGCGCCGGGCTGGCAGCGTACGGCACGCGTCCGCACACATCGGTCAGAGAGTCCTCTAGTCGACCGATCCGCTGGTGCAGCCTCTGCATCTCCAGCTTGAGGTCCACCTTGAAGTCCATCAGACTGGAGAGCAGCTGCTGAAGCTCGGACGGGTGTGTGGCGCCGGCTACCAGTTGCACCGGATCGACCACCTCCAGCCGTTTGGCCGGCGCCGCCGGAGGCCGAGCGGGCTCTTCCACCGGCGGAGGACGCGCCGCCTCGTCCGCACCGGCCTCAGTCCTCTCCGGCGGCGGCGGCGCCACTTTCGGACCCCACTTGATCTTGGGTTTCTCCTTCTTTTCCTCTGACGGAGTGGTGGCAGCGGCAGCGGCTGCTCCGGCGGCAGCTGCCACACTAGCTGAGCCGCCGCCGCCGCCACCTCCTCCCAGGGCACCCCATCTCGTCCGCGCGCGTTTGCTGATGGCCTGCTGTTCTCCAACGCTGGGCAGTTTGACGGAGGACAATATTCCTCCTCCTCCAGTCCCACCGGTGGCTCCGGCCGCACTCACAGCACCCAGAGCAGGTGGTGAGGGGTCATCCACGCTCGCGACGGCCGCGGCTCCCGCGCCACCACCGCCGCCGGCAGCTGAGCCAGGCGTGTCGGGCTCCGTCCTGTGACCGGCCTCCAGGTCCCTGGGGGAGCACACCGCGGGGAAATTAGCAGAAAGGTCGCCAGGTCCCGCAGCTCAGGAAATGACAAGATGTGTCATCATTGTTTGAATACGATATTCTTTCATCTGGTGCTTGAATGATGGAAAAATGAAACACATCTTGCACTTGAGAGTTGAGAAGATTAACGTGTCATCCATTGTTCATAAGTAGGTGACACTGCCTTTGAATTAAGCTGACGATTACAAGTTCACTATGAAGACAAATTCCCCGCATACCTCAGTCCCTGTTGGCTGTTGGATCTGTCGCTGGACTTTTTGAACCGTGAGAAGATCTTCCGAACCAGATGGTCCTGACTTATATCGGGAGGTGGGTCGTTCTTCCTCCTCTCTGCCAACTCCTTCTCCCTCTTGACGTCGGAGACCTTCCTGAATATCAACTGAAATTCAAAGGCGTCGGTCAAGAACTGACATTAGCATTATAAAGTACCTTTCGATACTGCTTCGAGTTTCGACGTTACTCAACAATGCGAGGCAAATGTTCGTTCATTACTTTTGCACAAAACTTTTCTAAAGGTATTCAGAGCATCGCCTATCGCCTGAGTAGTATCTAGAGAGCACACACCAATGTTATCAAGCACACTGCGTTTTCCAGGGCGCTTTCACGACCGATCTCGCGTTATGAAAGGCACATATGGATTTATGGAAACCGCAAACAATACGATTAAAGTGACAAGCCACGCCAGATAGCAGGCGCGGGCGAATAAGGCGAGCCCAGAATGAAAATGAGAAACAAGTAGGTCAGAAACGGACCACGAATAAAGGAATATATCAAGATGAAACTTGTAGAACATAGTTTGAATGCCAAAGGTAAACAAGGCTGAGTAAATTCTAGGTTATATCAGCATAAATTCAAAGAGATGTCAATAATCACTAGGGGTTAAGGGATGAGAAGGAAATGGTGCTTTGAACATTTAACGCCTTTTCAGCGTTCGAGCCACAAAAACATCCATCGAGGGTGCATATAAACACCTACCCGATGTCGCAGGTTGTACGTGAGCACCAGGTTGCGGGCGAACGAGTTGGCGAACGCGTGGTAAAAGTCGAGCACCTCGAGCAGCTTGTCCCGTTTGATGGTGTGCAGGTCGCAGTAGGTCAGCGCTCGTACATTGGCCGCCGCCTGGCCGACGGTCGGATCCTTCCAAAACGTGTCACCGAACACGTCACCCTGACCTAAGGGACGGCGAGGGGGGGGGGGGTCAGCTGGAGATGACAGAAAGGTCAGCTGGGGATGGCAAGGGTCAGGTCAGCTGGGGATGAGTGAGGGTCAGGTCCAAGATTCCTTTACTACTCAGGTTGGTTCACTAGGGAAATAAAGGCGCTGTGGTGACGTCATCAGAGGAAATCCTTTACGTTCAAATGAAGAGTTCATTTGAATTGCTGGTTTTGGCTCGATATAGTCTTTTTTTTTTAGTTTCAGCCCCATTTATCGTAATGAGGCGAACTCATTGTTACAGTGGTACAGCTTTTGATGACACATAATCCTAGTTTTTTTTTTTCTCCAGCTCGCTCGAAAGATGATGAAATTTGCATGCATGCCTATGGGTGAAAAGAGATTCTACCGCCGTGGTGACGTCACGGTAAAGGGATTCTGGAGCTCGTGAACGGGGCTGGATCAGGTCAATTAGTGATGAAGGAGAGGTCAGGTCACTTGGGGATGACAGAGAGGTCAGGTCACTTGGGGATGACCGAAGGCCAGGTCAGCTAGGGACGACAGAGGGGAGGTAAGGTCAGCTTAGGACGACGGAGGGAGGACCAATGCTCAAAAGTCCGTCTGATGTTGGAGCAGACCTGTCATGAAATGTGTCTTGGGAGCTTTTTGAATGCCTATCAAATGAAACAGATTGCTGACACCGTACAGTGCATGTGTTTTCAAGATGGTTCATTAGAGAGAAGCTGATAGTTTGGAATGCAATGACGTGAATTGTTGCGTGCTATACCTAAAATTCTTCCTACAACTGAAGATGACCAAAGTAGTTACTTTCTTATGCCTCAAACGAAATTGAAATACACATCATTTGTCATTAGGAAACGTTCCTTCGAGGTTTATTCAACACAAAACATATCCATTGACTCGCGACCACTGACCGACCACTAATAAAGCACCCAAAGTAGTGTGCGTGTGAGGAGAACTGTGCCAAGTCCTTGATGGCCTCCTTGTGTAAAAGTTCCACCCCCTGTGTCAATACCGGCCACTGTTTGATTCCGCTGAGATGGGCTGCGGCACGCCAACAGGGACGAGAAGGAGGAGGGAGGGAGGGCTGGCGACCGTGACCCCTTCCCCAGGCGGCGCGGCGCGGCGCGGCGGGACGTCCCCCTCCCCCTCCCTCCCTCACTAGATCGATCGGGGAGCCGGGAAACAAACAAGGCGCCAATTTGGGTCAAGTTTGGCGCCTCGAAAGTCGACTCGGAAATGCAACAAATTATTCAGGTGACGGTGTGGAAGCATTTCTTCAAGGTCGACCGGGATGAAGCGAAAATAAGCCGAGCGACGTTCGTAGCACACCTTTCGTGAGCAAGGACACAACTCACAAGCCATACCAAATGTATAAAGGATATACAGTGCTCGAAACCACGTTTTCTGCAAACAGCATTGCACAATGGATTAAAATCCACTTTTGTGTACATCATTATACCGGCGATACTGCTGAATTGAGGAGCATGAGTATGCAAACTTATTCATAATGAGTTGTGATGGATGACACGCTACAGAGACTCGCCGCTAGAATGACCATTATGTAAAGTTCCGTCTAATGTGTTGCATAATTATGCTCTAAGACGCCACGAAACCCTGCCCGAATGGGAACGTATGAAACTTGTAGGCTAGGAAAGTCAACCAAAAGTCCGCTAAATTATTGAAATGAGCAGTACCGGAGAATAGCCTTATTCCCGCAAATCAATAAAGATGTAACACCAGCCAAAGCGGCAGAAGGAAGAACGAGTCAATGCTAAAATGACCCCAAGCGGTATCGAAATATTGCATCAATTTGTCCTTTGACCATTGCTTCTAGCTCTATATTGCTATTATAGCCGTACTTTTAAGTAAGACGAGCGACTTAAATCCGCGCGAATAACGGAAGTTATCCCATGTGAAGCAGACGTGCACTTGCTGCTCGTAATGTTTCCAATGGCTGCAACTTCACAGGACTGATGGAGGAGTCTTTATTATCGTGGGTCCAACGGTCGGTGCCTCGATGGCCGATGTAATCGGTCTAATCCATAACGAGGCGTGCCTGCTTGACATGCAACGTTGCAAGCGCCGCCCGACGCGTCAGGTCGTCAGATCTATTTTGGCACCCTTTGCGAACTCACATACTGAGAAATGGCTGAACAAAATGATAAGTTCGCATCAACTTTCAATGAATTATTCTGGAAAGTATCGCACATACGAAGAGGTTATATTTTGCTCGTTCACCAAATTACTTTCAATCAATAGATCTTTTACTGGAAAAGTACCTAAAAGTGATTTATACCAACTCTTATTGACGTTCAGTTCGAACACCGGATTTTCGGATGGTGAATTGTCCAAGCTAAAACCCACGCTAAGCAATGCTTACTGCACAGTGCACAATGCACAGACTCTGGCCTCTGATGACAATCAATACAATTTCTGATAAGATGATATTCCTAATGGACCCAAGCGTCTCCTTATCCTTATCAACGTACTCAGCGTAGTCCCCAATTTTGTCTTAATTCTCAACATATCCATCCCCCATAGGGATTTCCGATTTCGTATCCTGCCGGCCGCTTTTCTTCGCTAATGAGCACCAAACACCACAAATAACGACAAAAAGTATAGCCTTTCAAGGCAAATGGCCCTTTTCGCCCAATTTATCGCTCTCTTGGATCCAGAGGCGCGTGGGGTGGTGTCAAGGAGCTCGTTGCTGTAGCGCCGACACACTCGACTAAGTGTTAAACGTCGCGGCGGCGGGACTGAGTCTGACACAAGCGAGAGTCGGATCGGAGGGGGCCTCCTACGGTGCTGTAAAGCCCTCAAGAAGATGCAGGGATTTAGCGCGTTGCGTGATTGTACTGTGGTTTTCACCGCGCATAGGTATGACTATTCCACGGAAGACAGTCGACGGATAAGGAACGATTGACCACTAAATGTTCGAGGGATGTAAATACAAAGCGATGGGTCTATATCTAATGATTATTGGGAGTTGAAATAATATATACTCAATGACAAATCGTGCGCACGGTTCACCTATAGCCTGCTGGAAAGATGGGCTTGGTGTTCTTTAGCCTATTTGCGCGGACGGGAAGTCTCTATATGCCTCAGTCCTGTGCGTAACGCCCCTTCTCCGTTCCGAAATAATATGTAGTGCTCTTCAACTGCAGCGCAGCCGTGAGCTCAATCCATCCCATTTAAAGTGGGTCTGACAAAAATCCACGACCATTTTACTGGCGAAATGTGCAGTCGGAGAAAAGTGGCTTTGGAAGAGCCTGCTGGTTAGCTCTTCACAGCTCAGTGGTACTTGACGTGAAGCGGTCTCTCGACTGACACCTGGCTCCGTCCTTTTGCAAAGTTACTGCTGCAAAGTGAGCAGTTATTTTATTTTCATCATTTTTTTAAACAAGATTTATGTCCAAAAATGTCATCACCTGAGAGCACAAATCAGTATGCTCAAGTGCTCGGCTCCAACAGTCATTTGTGTCCAGTTCATTTAGCATAATACCTAACATTGAACACCTTACTTATACACTTTTGATACTATAAAAAGAGATTAGCTGGGAAAAAGACTACGCTTAGGTTAAACAATACTCAGTTGGTGTCAGCCGTTTCTTTTCACCGGCTACTCACCCAAGATGGCTACCACCTCGTCATCCTGGATGACCTCCAGCGACCCGGAGACGATGTAGCACAGCGTGTCGATGCTCTCGCCCGTGTGGAAGAGCATGTCGCCCGGAGCGCTGTGTGACATGGTGAAGTGCACGGCCAGCGCCCTCAGGCAGCCGTCCGAGGCCAGGCGGAACGCCGGGTGCTCGTTGAACACCTTACGGTTCAGGTGGACGCATATGTCCGCCCTCATGTCTTTTGGACAGTAGTTGAGAACCTGAAGAAAGGGGAAGTGGAGGCTCAGGTGGCGAAGGGATTAGTGCTTTGTTAAGATCAAACCATGTCTAATTATCTTTCCGGGTAAAGGTTCTCATTCGTCATTTAGCAAAGTACAGACGCCAGAAATATGTGCCAAGCCTGTACAATTATGATTATATAACTTGTAGAGAGCAACTAAGTAGAAGACAAAATGATATTAAAGATAATTCCACAATAAATAGCTCTGGATAGAATGCCGAGAAATGTCCAAAGAAAATATTTCAAATGGCATCGTTAACAGGAACATAGGTAGATCTACAGGTCTCAAGCTCTCAACGCATGCCACAGCTTACCAAATGAGTATCATCCGTCCATGCAGTCTCCACGACACAAAAGGTGGACAAATACAAGCCAGCCTGCGTGCACAACAAAAACGATTCAATATTTCAAGCTCAACAACAACTCAAGCAATCAAGGCCGACACGACTTCTACATATAGTCATGCATTGCTGTTGCCATGCCAAAACCGTAAAACACAGATGGTTTCTATCGGTGACCTCTTGCTGCAAGGGATTCCAAAGGAGATATTCAGGCGCGTGCCACGGTGCGTACAAATTATAAGGAGTACCTATTTTGTTGTTCCATGTTGCGAAATACTAATGAAAGTAAAAATATAATTTGAAAAAGCTCAGAAAACAAATAAAGCGACATTAAATGGAATACTGTAAAAGATTGGAAAAGCGTATTAAATTTTATACCGAAAGCAGTTGCCAGATAAGTATGTAGAGTTCCTTAATTATCCCTATACAACTAGATACAAATTTATGGACTTATGAGTTGAACTAATTTTTCATTACTCCCTTCTGGCTGCTGAAAAGTTGTTCCTCCTTATAAGGAAGTACGGGTTTGATGCGATCAAAAACATAGTGCATGTTAATTCAGATTTCAATAGGTACGAAATGTGTTTCGGCAAAATGTGCGTCCATGCGCATGCAAAACAATTAACGTGGCCATAGAAAAGCAGATTAAAGGGCGTTAGTTCGTACAATGGCCCGCAGCGACCGTGATTACCCCTTCCATCATTTCCGCACATACTAAGAAGTTTATTTTCTTGTCAACCGGGCTACATGTCCTAGACATTGGGCACACTTTTTGTTAAGTGTTTAATGTGTATGCAATTCAAGTTTTGTCAACCGTCACGTGTCTCTTTTTTCGTGAAGATCTATACGAAGAAAATTAAAGAGATCAGACGCATTTCGTTTCAACCCTCTTCAACAATGCATCCCTGTAATGCATATTCAGCGGCATGATGCTTTGATCAAATATTGGACCCAAGGCCGTATGAGATTGGACCTTTGTTAAGTCTAGCTGAAACAACTACGCTTCTGCGAAGGTCTCTGATACAGAAGGCTGATGCAAATATAAGTGCAACATCTACACAGTAACCGTCCGAAAGGTCTGAGCTGCAATAGATCAAGGAAGAGAACATCCAACATGAAAGACATTGAGGTACACACAAGTGCACATATCGTTCCGCGTCGAAGCACCAGGATAGGTTAAATTCGTTTTAATAAATGCACTTGATAGTGGAAAAATACTCTTCATTCATATGTTTGATTAAAAATAAAATGGTAAGTCGATAGATGACGGCGAACAAAAAAGCGGAATCTCGTTTTTTATGGTTCGGACAAAGTAGATCCTTTTTCAACACATAATAAAACATAAATTAAGATGTCAAATAATGTTCAGGAAGAGGCGACAGACAAGATTATAAAGGGATGTTCGAACTCTTTAATTGTCCTCTTTTTCGTCATAGAAAATGGCTTGCCAGTGTTTGATTGCGCGAAAGCCTGCCTTCAGTTTGCTTACCATTCGTTTGCACGGCCACCCTTACTCGCCAAGGGCCACGGTATCGAACGCAAAGGGCAGGTGCAGAAAAGCTGGGGATAAACGGAAAATCAAGTCATAGCGCAAGCCATGTGAGAAAGGGTTGCAAAAAAGTAGAAATACTGTAATCGAGAGATAAGTCGTATCGAAATAATTTCGCTGAAGCCCGCGGGAACAGCGACAATGAGACTTTTCCGATGAGACGAGACCTCATGGTTACGTCTCTGTCGGCTCCTCCTCCGGTTTTGGAGGCGGTCGAGCGTGAGCCCATGTCCCGGTGCCCGCCCTGAAACATGCGAGGGCGGACCCTGGGGCGCTGGCTGGCCGGCCACGGAGCGAGAGGAATAGCAGAGCAAAAAGGTCACCCGTCACCGCTGGGGAGCTTATTGCATGAGACTCAGAGGTCATGAGATGTCTCAAGAATTCATCACTCTGGGGTGGCCTCGGCACTCGCCAGTCTCGCTCGGCGGCCGACACTGACCACCACTGGGACACGTCGACCAGAGCGTCTCCTCCGTCGGTGTTCCCGGCTGGCCGCTTCACGTTACCCCGCCTGGTGCCGCCGCCGGAACGGAGTCATACACTCGCCTCGTTTTCTACCTTATCCGTGTCAATGCCCTTGGTCATGGCCCACGTGCTAACGACGTAGTCCATGACGCGTTCCGAGAGCGCCTTGGGCACCTCGTGCAGCTTCATGAACTCGCGCACGTTGTTGAGCATGTCGTGGTACTTGGCCGTGGCTGAGGTCATCTGCTGGATGATGGTCGTCACGTGACCGAAGATGGTGGCGTACAGCAGCGCTGACGGACAAAACGAGAGGGGCATCAGAAGGGCGCCATGAGAATAGAAAAAAATAGGGATAATGGGAGGCAGCGAGGGCGCGAAGGACAGAGATAGACACATAGAGAAAGAGGGAGAAAGAAAGAGAGAAAGGCCAGTGATCAACGGAGACTGCTCTTTTTTTCTCTCTCTCTTCCTCCCTCCCTCTCTCTCTCTCTCTCTCTCTCTCTCTCTCTCTCTCTCTCTCTCCAAGCACATCCCCGTCGGAAGCACGACTGATCGCCGCAGTATCCGCGCCGACCGGACGACGCACCCGGCCCGGCTGTTCTGCGGAAGTAGGTGCCACTGTGCGTGCCGATCCACATGGGCCGCTCTCCGGCAGCACAATACGGCCCAGCCCGGGCCACGACCGTCCGGAGAGGATAGGGTAAAGTGGCCGACGGCGACTACGGCCGTGCGTCCCACTCTGAGCAAACAGTCGTCACGGCCAGCCCGGTCAATAGCGGATACTGCGTCCAACGAGCCGGGCAAACAGCCGCTCCCGCCCACCCATGACGTGACGTCATAGCCGATATGACGTCACACAGAGGCGGATTGACGTCGCGCACAATAGTGACGATGACTCGAATGTTCGTGATGGGTTATTTTGTCGATGACGCGTCAAGCTGGGCAAATTGGGGACAATGGAACGATTTTTTTTGCAGTGTATGTATTGCCTGGGGCTAGTCGTAAGAAGCGTCACGTGCGAATGCCGAAACTCTTGGTCAGAGAGTATGGGCTCTTTGGGCCTTGCTAAAGGCACGGTGACTATAAATAGGTAGGTATGCTGATACACGCCCACGACATAGCCCTTATACCCCTCCCCCGACTCTCGCCAAATGCTTAGTAATGAAGATATCTCGTCAATCAATCTATCTACGTAACGTTCCAAATGTAGGTACCGTTCATAACGGACGCATGGGTCTATTCCCAGTCTTCTCAAATTTCTCTCCCTCGATGACCGTGAATATGGTAAAACCGGTTTGAGCCGGGGATAGCCGGTCGGCCGAGCCTCATAAGGTTCTGGTGGGGTGAAAGGCCAATGGGGCGGGGTAGGTGCGGGGTGGGCGCACCTTCGGGGCTTCGGGGCGGTCCTGGCCGGTGCTTCGATCCGTTCGTCGGGGACGGCTCGAATCGATGGCCGCTACGACCGTGGCCGCTTTATGGGCCGCCACTGACAGAGCCAGTGGCGTGCTCTCCAAATTATCGCCGACTCCGGCCAGGTGCAGCCGCGCCGGCCGACAGGCGATCGGCCTGAATACTGCAGGTGATGTCAACAGATTACGCCCCCGCAGGCTGCCTATCACCGCCATATATGTATACCTATCTACGTCATACTGCCGCCCAGCAATGCCCTGCCACCACATGCCTACCTACCACATATCGGTACCACAGCCGGCCTCCATCATCCTCGAACTGCAACCCATTTCCACTCCCACGAACCCCACGATTTTGCACGCCCCACCCAGCCGCCCACCACTATCGTCCATGCAGCTAATTAAGTCTTATTATCCTCCACCTAGATTGCAGCCAGGTTGACACAGTCCCCCTCCCCACCCAAGTCCACGCCGCTACGATAGCCACGCGCGGACGGCGCAGAAGCGGTAGCGAGCGCGGAGGAAGCCCCAGTATATACGATCAGTCAGCAGCGCGGTGTCAGGAGCCTCATCTGACGAAATGAGCCGGCCACTGCAGCGACGACAGCGGCCTCGGGGCTCGGCTCTTAACCAGATTGTCCTCCCTCGCCGGGATATTGCCGCCGCGTCTTCCTGTGTGAGCCGCAGTGCGCCGAGTGTGTTTAACCTTATTTTGCAGGTAATAAGGCGGCCGAGCAAGGCAAATAGCTCTGTGAATGTTACGGAGCAGGCTATATTTCAAATTATGCTTAGATCCAATTTTAGCAAGAAATCTTGCACCATTTTTGTATTATGCAATATATAACACTTTCATTCGTTGCATCCCGCATGTTCAAACATCTCAAAGAACGCAACGTTGACTTCCTATGCAATTTACCTGAATATTACCTAATTGACATGGTCTCACCTTCCATTTCCATTGCCAATAAGAAAGAAGGACTGTGGTGATTTCGTAGCAAAAACGAAAAGACAATTCCTCACAACTCGTAAGTTCCACGCTATCAGCAGCTTTTAATTCCGAGTTGATTTATTCCGACACTTGATCGATTCAAAAGAAACCTAATCCAACTAAAACAGGCCGACTAAAGCGATAAGAACTCTGCTCGGCGCGTGGTAGTTCTTGCTGCTCGTCGGCCGACCACACCATATGCTTCGGACGCACATAATTGTTAAAAGACCATCAACACGACCTTAGTTGTATGGCTGGACCAAGCACACCCTAAGTCAATTCGGACAGAGCAGCCGTGTGTACGAAGTGAAGCGAATTGACTGCCTGGAGACCGGATATTGACACACTCACTGCTACATCTCTGCACCGTTGAAAAGGACAGTGAAAACCGGACGGAAACGCGAATAGCGATGTTATCATCAGCAAGTTTAAAAGCTCAACATTGAAGTTATGTCAAGCTTACAGAAGATTTGGCAAAAGTCTCAAATTGTAAGAGAAACCTTCATAAGTCAGAAACGAAGTTTATAAGGTAAGCATTTTACGGAAGATGACAACCTGTAGAGTGCAAGCACAATTAAACGTTGGCGAGAGAGATGAGGAGAGTCTCTGGATGCAGGGGGAGTTCCGTCGAGTTACGAGCTGTCTGTGCTAACGCAGAGGGACCCTTACGATGGACAGTCCTGAGACAATGAACAGGAAGACCGCTCCTCCGTTCAGTAAGCGCCGTTCGTGCTGGGATTCGATCACGACACTGGCGGGACTCACTGGCCACAGAGACAAGAGGAGCGTGGCTGCAGAGACACATAGCGGTCCGCTGAGGTACACCATCGACGGTGGGTCAGCCGACGATACGACAGCCGAATTAACCCACAGATAGATTGTGCTGTACAGAAGGTCGTTTGTTCCGTCACCGCCGACATAAGTGACCCCGGGTGCACACGAGGTCGTACATAACGAGGAACACGAGATAAGCCGTGGGAGTTGGTTAACCGTAAAGCGCAAAACATTTCCATATTTATATTCATACTTGACAAGGTTTTCCACGAATTATTTCAATTGTTAAATTTTGCCGCAATGCGGATGTTCAATCTAGCGACATTGATAAAACATTTCGGCAGTATTTATGAGAAAGACTCATAAAAAGCTCATAAAACGTCAGATGGTGTTGTCAGCATTCCAGTGTTTGAGCTAAGGGATGAAAGGAGAATTAGGAGATCGCCATTTAATTCTTCTAACCAGTTTCAATGTGTGTTGCAACGTGAAATATATGACAACATGATATGCACTGCAATGTGTGTTTGGACAGCTCCGGAATAAGTACTACTGGCATTGCGACAGTTTTCCTCCACACAAGACTATACAATTTTCACAACTGTTTGGGTGTGGTAAATGTTCGATACCATCCCACGTACCCAAAAACAGCTATTCTCTTTCTCAAATCATCCCTTTCATTCGCTCTGTCCGCCCGCTCACCTGCAATGATCATCATACAGATGGTGAAGATCTTCTCGTTGTCCGTCTCGGCGGCCACGTTGCCGAAGCCGACGCTGGTCATACACGTCATGGTGAAGTAGAGTGACGTCACGTACATGGTCTTCCTGGAGGGACCACCGACCAGGATCGGTGACATGGTCTCGTTGGACCACAGGTACGAATAGGGCGTCTGGGTGATGTTGCCCAGTTTCCACAGCCAGCTGCGGACGGTGCAGGACGGACGGTCACACGGGGGAGCGACAATCTTACGGCCGAGACACAATGGGGAGGTTTATCCATTCGCGTGCTCTGTTTTGTTTAATGTCACCTCGATATGATTTAAAAGGTGCACGCTACATATTAAGCCAATACAAAAAAGGTTGTAAACGTCTAAAGAATGAAAAAAAAACTCATCATTCCACAAATATAGTAAAATTATTACACTTGAAACACAAGATCGTTCTAATTCTCTTCGTAAAAATATGCGCATTGCTCAATGCAGCCGTGGCGGTGGATTCCCGAGCAGCCTTCAAGGACAGCCAAAGAGTTTCCCTCATTTATATTCTTGAAAAAAGTCCAAAAGGAAACTTTGCTCTGTCCCAAAGATATGTGTGAATAAAACACCCGGAATGTGGCGTTATTTCACCACTCTACCTCAGAGCTTTTCCAGATTCAAAATCAGAATGCAATTCAGAATGCCACTGTTGGAATCAGCCACCACTGCGCGCAAATAAACCCCACTCTACTGCAGACAAATAGAACATTTCACTAAGTGAACATTGCTCTACACGACCAGCACTCCGTGGCCCAGCCTGCCCGCTGTATCAGGGCGGGAGGTCTATCAAAGCAAAGGACGAGCTAGCTGACAAAGGAACCGAAGCTACCATACATCTTCATCCCTAAGTCGCTGCGGTATCTAATTACGACACAGCTTTGGCTCATCAAACAAACAATGGTTACGGCCGAAATTCAGTATGTGGATGCTGGATAGTCGTGACGTGGTCTAAATACACCAACCTTACTTATGAAGGAGCAACACATGCAACAAGAACTTTTTACAGCCAATGTGATTTGATTATCAATTAGTATCCTTTAGATAATTCTGACTTACATATTGATACAAAATACAAACACAACACCTCATTCGCTCAACTGACAAAAAGACAGAACCAGAAAAGTGACAGACTGTCAAGGGATTTACCGATAAAACTGTCATGCATCGAAGCCATGGAATGGCCTAAGCAGCTTCACTACACATCGGTCGTGTCGTGAGATCTACATACATTCCACGGCAGTCGGTTCACTGAGTCCGGCGTCGCTGCTGGCCGGCGCGGTTCCGGCTTTCGACCCTGGTGTGTGTTTGCGAGTAGATGACCAATGCCGACTCTCCCCGAGAGTCATCCCGTCGTCGACTCTCCCCGCCTTCATTGACCCGATCGTCGACTCTCTCAACCTTCATCATCCCTCGATCGACTCTCGACTTTCCTCACCTGTAGGTGACTCCATTATCGGCGTCCGAGAGGCCGATGCTGTACCAGATGCAGGCCAGCCAGTGAGCCACCAGCATGTAGAAACACAACAGCAGGATGAGCATGGCGGCGCCGTACTCGAGGTAGCGGTCCAACTTGCGGACCACGCGGCCCAGCCGCAGCAGACGGACCACCTTCAGCGCGCTGAACAGGCTGCCGATACCCTGGGGGTCATGAAGGTGGTAGGGTCATGTAAAGAGGCTGCTATTATCATGAGGAGAGGAAGGGGCATCTGAACAGACTGCCGATATACCCTGAGGGTCATAAGGTGGGTAGTAGGTTCATGTGAAGACTGCCGTTACCCTGAGGGAGGGAAAGGACGTCTGAACATTCTATCGATACCCTGGGGGTTATGAGGGTGGAGAGAAGAGGGTCATGTGAAGACTGTCGTTACCCGGAGGAAAGGGTATAGTGGCAATGGAGAGGCTTCCGATACCATGAGGGTGAAGAGGGAATTCCATGTGAAGGACTTCAAAAGTTTAGGCACAAAAAATAGCATTCATGGATAATGAAACTCATTTCATGAAATTTTCAACATTGGTAAGCATTATCAATAATCATGGATGTTACCAAGCAACGTGAATATGGCTACACTGCTTGGTAAGACTGTCTGACCCGGTCTAGCCTCAGTCGGCAATATCTACATCCTTAATCACACATAAGAACAATAATGTTGCTGACGTTACAAGGAAACCAGTGCGTCACAGCCGAGGTAAAAACTCTGTCCTATTTGTATTGGTTCTGTGCTATACACGATGTGCTATACATACGTAATTGACCAATATTGCGCATTGCCTAAGTGCCTATCATATGTCTCGGACATAATTACACCATCAAACAGCAGTCTTGTTTTGATGTCACCCTTAGCGACAGTAGCATTCCAGAAATAGAACATGAGTCATATTCTTGTATGCATTTAAACGAATTTGCCTACTTACATGTAAATGTGGCACGCGACGAGCACCTACCTCTAGACAAGGATAGCAACAATAAGATATCCTCGAAAATGTTAGCTTCTGGTAGTTTGGAATGGGCCAATAATGACTGAACATTTTCTAACTAAAACAGTTCTATAAATGACAGTTCATTTAAGCCATGCAATCAACAAAAAATCTACCTCAGGAAAATTTGGTGGTCCTCTAGCCGTTTGTAGGTAACTCTTCATAAGTAATCTTGACTCTTCATGTCCGGTGAGCATTTTCGGTGACGTTCGCCGGTTATATATCTGTATTACCTATCAGGAGCTGTCATACTCGGAAGCCAATCGGTCAATCTATGAATAGAGTCCTTTGGTTGGGCGTCAAGAATAGGACATTGGCTGAGCTGGGTTGGCAGCTGAGTCTATCCCAGGGCGGCTGAGACCGGTAGAACAGATGTATGTAAGGTCTGAGGTGTGGCGACGTTTTGCCGAACACAGGCTGGCCAGAAGGTCGCTATTTCTGGCGTTTGTGTGTGTAAGTAACTATACGAGGTAGCTTATTATGGAATGGATGTCAAGCCAGAGGCACCCATAGAGCTGCTGCGATTTAATTTTACCGGCGGTATTTTCGTACAGTCCGCCATGGAATGTAAAAAGTTCTCACATAAAGGAATATGAGCGTCTGGCGCGTCCTGCAGTTCCAGCCCAAATCTGGCGCTGGGGGTCGCGCTAATAACGCTAATGTTGTCGCGCAGGTCCGTTATCGTTACCGTGACGCCGTTACCATTACCGTGACGGTCTTCATGACACGACACAACGGTCTCCGATTGGGTAACGAGCCACCCGACCCGTCTAATGGCCCGGGGAACCTATCCGGCCCGGGTCGCCCCGCCCTCCCTTCTCGGCCGAAATCTGCAGAAAGGCCGGCGGTAATATCCAGTGACGCAGCCGCGGGCGCACTTTACTGATTATTCGTCCGTGCATGCACCCTGTCCGAGGACGGTAGCGGGCGGAGCGAGCCCGGGTCGGGTACTGCGGTGACCCGGACGGGCGTTGGCTGTCACAGGAATGGTGACACGCTATATGGCAGGGGCAGAGGGTACGGACGTCAGGGTCAGGGGTTACTGCCACGGAGCAATCACAGCCGGCAAGAATGGCACTTCTAAGTCGGATTAAAGCAACAATGGCGTGACTCGCGGCAGCGGCTTAAAATGTGATTTGATCTGACTTTGATTAAAATAAATGTACTTGAAATTTTAGGCCAATATTCCGTCGCAACTGTTTGTACATTTTGAGCTCTTAAATAAGGCAATTTAAGTCAACCGGATTTACGAGAGCTGAAGAGAGATGGAGAAACGAAAAAAATAGTCGATAGTCTGCAATGATGTGTGCAAGAGCACAACACTCAACAAAAATCAAGAACTAAAATATTGTATTGGTCTCTTCCGTCTCCTAAACAAATCTCTCCTGGCCCCCACAGGGTGCACTTGCGTAACTAGCTGAGTAGAGTCCTCTAAAAAAGCTGACCAGTTGCTGCACCAGCAAAAAGGAGCCAGAATTAACTACAAAGCACCCGAGGGCCAGTGCCTTTTTACAGCCCATCCTCCTGAATATATGTCCACGATAGCGCGGTCACCGGCGCAGTGGACGACGCGGTCACGTGTCCGTGAACGTGTAATCAGGCGCGGGCAGATACGGCCCAGCAGATGACCGCATGGCGTGACGAATGCCGGCGCAGTGGATTCATTTGGCAAAACAGATCAATACCGCCGTGTCGGCCTGACCAGACGGTGATGTCCTATATGCCACAGCCTCCGTCACTCTCTTTGACAGAGAAAGAGAGTGCCATTCGAGCAGTTCAGAATAAGAGAGCACCCGCCGATATATCGCAAGGTTAAGTGTTCTATTACTGGATTAATTTGAAAGGTTTGCCGTATTTGTTCACATACTAAATAAAAAAACACAGTTATTATGAATTCTCTTTTTTTTGCAATTCAATTAAAAAAGCTATCATCTGGCACAACGCCACCCGACGCAGCGCAGCGGTACGCGGCGTTCGACTGGAAGGTAGACTGTACCGCAGTACTTGAGTGTAATGCGGAACAGTCGCGATCCCAGAACGTAGGTAAGCGCGCTGGAAAGCGTAATACCGCCCATAATCGCATACCACATAATCGCCCATACTGTAAGTGCACAATAATTGTCGTTTTTTCGGGAGCCTCGCCTGTTCCTTTTTTGAGAATACTGAGAAAATAGCTGCCGTCAAGCAAAGCAAGCCTTGTGGAAAAATTTCGATTCATCTCACGTAAATTGTCTGGCACCTATTTGGCTTCCTCCATGATAAGTGGTTTGTTCTGGGTCATTCTGGGTAGTTGATGGAAGGATTGTTCGGTTTACATTTTCACGCCAAACGACATTACTTATTGGTACTCACCTGAAAGTTGTTAGCGTCTAATATCAAATAGAGCTCGCCAAGATAGATGCCTTAACCGTCATGTGGGCTGTGTTAACCGACTTTGGGTATTATACTAAGGCTAAGTAAGGGTCGACCAATCAGATATCCTACAGGTGGTAAATAAAGGAAAATACTATATTGGACCAGAAATGAATGCATTAAAAGGTATCTCCCTACTCAAGGGTATTCAGCTACGTGCTTAGGGTCGGTAAGTACAAAAACCTGTCACTATGTGACCCCCTAACACATTTATCGCACGTATAGAGGTTTTGATAAATGTACAGCATTCGTTAAAGTTGTGCACCACCTATTCTAGTGCCGTGAGAAAAAGAAATGGAGTGAGTATATACCTTAAGATTTACTGAAGGCAATAAAATATATCATGACAAACAAATGAATAAAAACCCGTGAAAGGAGCGTGGTGTAATCAAATCATTTCATTCCCGGGCATCTACCGCGTTGACGAAGCTGATCAGCTGGAGACATGCTGGTGGCGCTGTCTAGAGCGTGTGTTCCGACCTATCTGCCAAGGTCTCCAGCACCGCAAGGTTCCACGCCAAGGTCGGGTGTATGTCCCACGGCCAAACTTAGCCCACTGCACGTGCGCAGTGCCGCACCACCCCATGCACATGTGCCTGGCGGGCAGGCGCCGGGCGGCAGCTGTGCCCCTACTGCGTGCGACTGGAGGTGTCGCTGCAGCCTACTGGCGACTCTCGGGGCGCGCGGTGCAGGGGGGCAGGCGGCAGGCACTGCTGCTCCGGCCCGCCGCCGCGATACTCACATTTTCACTGCGATCCGTGACGCTGACTGCGCAGCTACTTACATCTTCGTCATGATCAAAGGCGTTGAAGACGTCGTACGGCAGGCAGGAGAGCAAGTCGATAATGAACCACGACTTGAGGTAGTTCATTCGGATGATCTTCGGGTCGCTCACCACCTCCCCGCCGGGCCCCACAAATGTCGTGTGAAAGTTCAGCACAATGTCTATAAAGAAAATCACGTCCACTATGGAATCCACCACGAGCAGGCTGACGTCCTCGGACGTCTTGTTCTTGAAGGCGACGTTGTACGGCACCATGATGGCGGTGTAGAATGTGAGGCAGAGAATCACCCAGTCCCAGATGGCTTTGAAGGCACAGTAGTGGAGGAGAATGTGGGGAGGTGTCTTGGGCGCCTCCTGACGGTACTGGGGCAGCACGTCCGAACTGAGAGACATCATCTGCGGGCAGACAGCGGGGCGTCAGAGGAGAGGCATGGCGTCATATGAACGGTGTTAAAGGGCGACAGGGTATTTAGTATTTACGTTCATCTGCACAACACTCAACAGTGACACGACAAGGACTGGGTGGCGTTCGGGGCACATGGTGTGACCTACCGATTTGGGACGCAAGTCTTAATTGGTGACACGCATTTTCCGCCATGGTGCCAGAGGTTATGAACAATAGGTAATGCAACGGAAGGGGTTACATGCTGAGAGCTCGTGATAAAACGAAGGTTTATTTGCCCTAAAAAGGTATGGGCGCTCATGTTAAAAATATTACCAAACTGTAAACATTATCTGAATGTTAGAATAACCACTTGGACAATTGAACAATGAGTGCTGAGATCATCCAAAATGTATTTAGTTCAAATGGGAGGCGGGCAGCTTAAAGTTTTATTTTGTCGTGCAATAGAGATACGTGCTACTTGCTAGCAAGATAAGAACAATTTCTCGTGTGAAAAAGAAATATGAAATTTTACAGGTGCTTGGAACTAAACTCGTTCTACAGACTATAAAAATATAATTAAGGTAGGTACTTAGAATAACCACTTGGACAATTGAACAATGAGTGCTGAGATCATCCAAAATGTATTTAGTTCAAATGAGAGGTAGGTATAAGATTATGCGTGCAGAGTGGTGCCGAGCATTCATTAAAAAAGCCACAACATTGGAACTATAAATGAAGCATTACAATAGTGCAAATCCCTTTACCGTTACATGACTCAGCACCAGTTCTCAACAGGGGTGATGATTAGGTATAACGCGCTACACTGATCCGGCTCCAACAGTGCTTTTAGTGTAAGTGGTGACAGCTCTCACAAACTCCAACAAGATGCAGCCTCGGGTGTCCAGTCCACTTTGTCCCATGTAATACGGTCTCAGTGCCCACCGTGTCCCAGGTAATACGGTCTCAGTGCCCAACGTGTCCCAGGTAGTGCAGCACCGGTGTCCACTTAATCCATGTAGTATTGGTCTCAGTGCCCGCCGCGTCCCGGAAAGTACGCTCTCAGTGCCCGCGGCGTCCCAGGTAATACTCTCTCGGTGCCCGGCGGCCGTGTCTCTCTATGCCACCCGGTCGATGGACGGGTCGACCCGGCACCGACCGCTCTCTGCACAGGCTAATATGGCCCCCGGGATCGGCGCCGGCACAGCAGACGGAGCCGGAGCCGACGACGGAGCCGGAGTCGGAGACGGAGACGGAGTAGGAGACAAAGTCGACAAACGAGCGGAGAAATGTGGCCCAGAGAGCCGGAAAAGTTATACAGGAGTCCACAGGTGCGCTGGTATGTATGCATGCGCAAAATAAGTGAATCATTTCGTGCAAGATGCCAGTTTGACGTAAGGCGATTTTCTGAGAATGTGGCAGAGTGGCGAAGGGAAAAGCTTGCTTTGAATTCCTGTGAGTAGTGGCCAAACTACGGGTGCGTGGTATTACCTGCCTGCGAATAGGAACACATCGATTATCATTTTGTAGGTGGCTTGCAGAAGCTGCTTCGCCTATCCCGATCTTTACTTTGAAGAATAAGTTCACAAATCTCTCCTAAATTTGAAAACCATGCTGTCAAACATGTGATGCTTCATCTGCAAGTGAATGATTTTACTATCATTTAAACCGGTCCACTGCCTATATCGGTGTTCCACCTTCCAGTATTCGTCCCCGTATCACTTTGAACACACCTCACAGCACGTGAGGGAGCACATCATGCTGCAAGCCACTGCCTACTATCGACACACACCTCCATATTGGCAAAGTTTGACTCGCGTTCCCCACTTGCCCCACAAACAGGCTCCCAACTTCCGACGAAAGATGAGGGGACATCGCCAATAATGAACTGCCGACAAGCGCACAAACTCGTATGAGCCAACTTCTTAACACGCGCAGTGGAAGGGGGGGGGGCGGATTTCGCCCACCCCTCCTGTTTTTCGCCAATAACTCGCGCCGCGAACATAATATCAATGTGAAATTTTGGCTACCTGTCCAAAATTGAATTGCGGATCTTCTCGTGCAAGAAATAAGAAAATCGGTTCAGCACTTTTCTAGTAATAGCGGTGTAAAGTCAAACATCCTGCCGCCGCGGCGGCGCGGCGGCGCGGCGGCCGGCGCTAGCCGTTACGCGCCGCCTGAATTGTAGACTGTGCCGGACGGGACGGTTCCGTCTTTACATCGCGCTCCTTACCGCTGATTATATTAGATTCGCGTCAAATTCAGTGAGAAGACTGAGAAATGTGCAGGCAATCATATGGTCAAAGAATTTTGAAAATCGGCCGGTAACAATTTGAGTTATGAGTGTGTAAACACAAAATTGTGATTGCCGCGCTTCTCGCGTCGGCCGATCCCGCTTCAGCCGGCGACATCTTACCCTTACCAGGCTTCTAACTGCCATATTTATTGTTGGATTATCTAGAAATTCACCATACATACTCCCAAATGTTTGTTCTTTCGTATAGTGAAAGTAAAAAGAAAATCGGCCGGTAACATTTTGAGTTATCGGCGTGTAAACGCAAAAAAGTCGCTAATATGACAGATTTGACCACATTTGACCTCATTTGACCTTGAAGATATTGACCTAGGGTCATGAAATTCACACACAGCAGAGTTCCCCATGGCCCCCACCTACCCTCCAAATTTCGTCTTTCTAGCTCCAGTGGGAGCTGAGATCTTAGGGGGGGGCGACATCCGCCCCCCCCCTCCACTGGGCGTAGTACTCGCAACCCTTCCACTGCGCGTGTTAAACTTGTCTGGTGTATTAGCATCCTGGCAGCACTTAAAAAATGACGGTTGGCTCATTTTGGTTAGCCTGTAGATGGTACCTCCTTGGGGGCAATCTTGTCTTGTTGGGGGGGGGGGGGGGGATTCTCACCTAGGATTTTTCTCAAACAGAGTGGTTCCTTCCCTAAAGTTCATTCCGTCCAGTGGATGGACCCTCCCCTTGGGTTCAGCTCCTCATTTATCTCATTCAATGGGTGATCCCTCCACTAGCGTCCATCTCATCCAATGGGTGATCTCTCCTCTAACGTCCATCTCATCCAGTGGGCGGTCCCTCCCTAGGGTTCATCTCATCCAGTGGTCCGTCCCTTCCCCTGGGTTATCCGTCCAGAGATCCGCCTCTCCCCTGGGTATAGACCCCACGTCCAAATACGCCTGCCCGTGGGACGCGGGGTAGGTCGGCCGGCGTGGGACGGCGTTGGTCGCTGTGTGCCGGACGCTGCTCATGACCGTCTGCCCTCTGGCGACCGACGAGGCCGATCGACTGGGTCTCTTCTCAGGTGATGACTCAGTGTGGACCTCCGAGGGCTTCACGCCGGTTTCCAATGGTCCAAACCGGCCACTGGGCCTCTCACCATGGGTGAGGAAATGTCTCAGACCAATCGTGAACCCTCATAAGGTATCGCTGTAGGCCTCTATCCCTGTCCCATACTGGCTATCCTTGATGGCTGACCCCGTCACTGTCGACTTATTCTGTCCTTGTCTTTGCGCTTGTCCCGGTCCCCATCACCCGTCCCTGTTGGAGCAATACCTGCCACTGCGAGTCGAACGCAGAAAACGACGGATGGAGTAAAGGACTTGAGGCATGTGTCAGCGGTTAGACGCAGTGATGAGACGGCTGGAATGTGGAATGTGGCCGTGGTGGACTCCACTGGGCCCGACTTGGGCCTTTTGATGTGGGCCCATGAGATCGACGAAGGTAGAAGACTTCAACTGTACTTAAAGATATTGTTGTAATGCGATCAAAACCAGTATCAGTGCCTATTTTGTCTCAGCTATTATCGTCACTATCCTTTCGAAAACACCGAAAATGTTCCGAAAATATGCCCGGTGCGGGTGAGCGCCATCTCAGCGACCTTCCGAATCGACCGCACCTCCGGCTGATAGCGACCTCACGGGGAACATCACCTCAAAACGACTCCCCAGGAGCCTAGTTTGGTCTTGTTGACCCGAGAGTAGCCGTGACCTTGTGTTTGGTCCCCCGCGCCCACTTCATGTGGCTCTCAAAGCCTGCTTAGAATATCGAGCACACTGATCAGAGGCTTCGCCCGCATTTTTGGCGCCGTTTGGGTCAACTGACTGCCGGGAATGCGCAGTCATCGAGCATCCTTTCCTTACGTATGAGCCCTACATTTGGGAGGATTGAGGGTAAACGAGCGATATAACAGAAAACATTGCAGAAATACTGGGCATCATTGAGGTTGCATCTTACTATTCCCGGAGAAGCCCATTGAAAGTAAATAAACTTGAATTTCAGACTCATAAAAGCTAACAAGTAGAATCGGATCCATTCTGTTTACTGTGATATTCTGGGACAAATTAGAACATCACACTGCTCTCGCTATCTTTAAAGAGCAACATTTCCGTGTAAACACTACCGCCGCACGCAACCATTGGCCCTGACCTCCCTGGCAGCTTCATATTTCAGTGTACTGCGTCACGCGGCTGCGGTGACACTTTGGAGGCCAAATCAGGCCCGGGGCAGATTTACGCGGCCCTAACTCGCGCCGGCTCCGCTCTCTCCGGGCGAGTGCCGGTCGCCGTTTGACGGTCGGCCGACACCGCCCCACTGTCGGCGGCCCAAGCGCCCGAGCCGAGTCACTTGAGCTAGCCGAGCCGACATTAACAATTCACAGTGAGATGGCTTCCGCCAATCCGGATCAATCAGACGCCGTGTAGACCACGACACGAGAAATTTGTCTGTGAAATTTTCAGGGCTTCCTCTGGAAACGAAGATACCCGCAATGTGCGAAGAAGTCTATTGAATCTGGCTTAAATGGAAACAAAGGAGAGCGTTGGAGCTTTCCATATGTAAGGAGGACTATGAACAAATTTAGAAGCAACTGGATCGAATGTTGAGCTGGGTACTGAATATTGAACATTAGGTGGGCATACTGTACGAAAACAGCAACACCACCTTTTAAATGTTGATCAGCCGACACACTGGAATAATTTCACACGCGTGTGTAATTAAGCATTGAATATTCAAAGATTAATAACACAGTGGAGATGTACATGCCACAAAGAAATTAACATAATTCGCATCAAAAACATGTCTACAAAATTGTTGCAATTGGACTGCCACATAATAAAAAAGCAGCAAGTGCATCAATTTATCATCTTTGGTCTTAAGTGGCTGTGATCCGGGTATACGATAATTAGGTCTTATTTCAAATGACATCTTGAACCCACCACCGACCGTGCCCACACCAGGTTTACGGTTATACCGAATGTTCGAGGTAACACACATATGTCGATAACGGCACGAATCAATACGTGTATAGCTTCTTATGGGGCCAAACGACAGGCCGAAGACCTCCTCCAGCCGCCAACCCTTTGCCTCCGAGAACATGTGTAGATACGAACGCCTTATCCACTTACCTGGAGGAAGATCGTAGGTACCTCGCTCATTGTCTCACATACAGTTAGACTGGCGCCGATGCAAAATGAAAGAGATATATTACAATACGTGAGCATGCAATAAACGACATAGAACAGCTGTAATAAGAAGATATGCGTCTAAAAATGAATTATAGCGGTCTATAAAGCTACACGTACATTGATTAGCTGAATGCACAGGATGCAAAAAAAAGGTTATAGCCAAGCTAGGAAAATCCGTGAGTGCAGTGCAACGAGGGCAAAAAGTGACTTTGGGGCTTCATTTCCATGTCAGTAGTTATTCCCCTAACAAACTAATGTAAAAAGCAACATTATTACAAATTTGGCGAACACATGCGCCGAAATTGTCTTTGCAAACACCACTGGCTAGCACAATGGTGGTAAAAAGTGCTAGCATCCTTTTAGGAACTTACGAGCAATAGGAATGAAATTGAAATAGCTGTACAATTACAGTGTACACACTAGAGAAACTTGTTTTAACACTAACAGTTTGCTCTGTTTATCACTGACACGATCATTTTGCACTGACAATAAACTAGAACTTTGAACTAAAAGGATCAAGGAACGGAGCTAATGACAGGGTTGACAATAAAATACGATACAGAAGTGGCAAGGATTAAAAAAAAGATGCAAAACTGCAATAAGAAAAATATTGTAGCCCTGTCAATAAATGGGTGCTGCCTATAACGAACGTACTAACAAATGTCGCAGTATGTCGCCATTTAAATAACAATTTATATATCCACCATGCTGTTCTAGGCATTCCAATTATAAATTTACCATGCAGACACTTGACAAAGCAAATCTAACCCACTACGGCTATTAAAGATATATCTGAATAGTCAACTTGGTAATACCTACTTGATACTGGCGGCAGCAATCAGGAAAACATTGAGTAAAGACACACAATATTGTATTGGCTTCGGAACACTCTATGTCTATGTAATACGCTCAAAGGGTCACATCTACCACATTGCGTGTAGCTATTGGTTTGCTATGAGGGCTTGGAACATATATCCATTTCGTACTCATTCTCCGCAACGTACGCCTTTTGGCTTTTTGAGCCAAGAATCATGTGCTCCCCGAAAATACAGAGCATAAAGCTACAGTGAAAATCAGCGAAGTACAAATCAGTCTTGGTTATTGGAAGTTATTTAAAATTTAAATTAAATTAAACTATTTTTTAAACATGTTGAACCCGATTTTTTTATCGGTGCATCTATACTAAAAAGGAACACTCTGGCACTCTGGTTATTGATGCACGAAGCCAGGGAATGTGTATAAAGCGCTTTACTGAAAACTGATGTAGGAAGGCCAAGCAAAACGGAAAGACACACGAAAAAATCTTGCTTTGAAGGGAAAGCAATTTGTATGATTAATTTTTAACATATGAGACATACTGTTCAGTGAAAAGCTTGCAAAGAAATGAATGCACATTGAAGTAACAGAGAAGATAAGGTTAAGCACACACAGGGTTGGAGCCTCACAACTAACATTCGCGAGACAAGGAGTGGTGAAAGACCAGTTAGGTCATGTGACAACAAACATTGCGTTACCACTACTAGGGCACATATAGCTACTCCGAAAACAGCTAACAACATCGTTCTTACCTACAATCAGTCCCTCTGGCAATTCAAACAAACATACGCAATCCATTCTGGATCTACCTATCCTTCAATCTCCATTGCGAAAATTCAGCCAGATCCCGTAGACTGTGGTCCACCTATGATGGAGAAAGGACACAAAGAAATGACTCGGACTTACGTGAGCGATGTTGGACTGTTTGCCATTCTCCTTGACGCCTGACACGTTGGAGGCAAACTGGGAGGCCAGCACGGTCCGGGACCGGGTCACCGAACGGGCCAGCTTGGCGAACTTTGACAGACTCGCTGGAAACGACAAACAAACGACATAAATATATAGCACAGTGCACTGAGCAAACAGCTAAGGGTTTCACAGACAGGCTACTGGTTATGGTTATATAAAGATCGTTACGAACTACTCGGTACCTTCAGCTGAGCCTCCTGATTATGAGGAACATACACGGATGTCGTATCGTTTTCAATAACTTCCTTTCATTAATAAAATTTATAATGGGAGAGTCAGCAGTGTGATGCCACTGATGCCTTTCTTACATTATGACTGACTGACAATTGACTGATGCCCAGGCTGCATGAAGGCATTCGCGTGCATCATTTCTCTAACCGTGGGACCCACCTCTGTTGTCATCTGCCTCGATGGGCTGTTTGAGAGCGGTGATGTCTCTCAGCGTCAGAAGGAACAGAACCACCACCTCCTTTTCGTTCTTGATGGGCGCTAAATGCAGCAGCAGCCATAGTGGAGTACCTACCGGAGAGCGCAGCTTGTGGGCTACAGGAGAGCGCACCTCGTGGCTCGTGAGCTACAGAAGAACGCAACTCGTGAGCTACAGGAGAGCGTACTTTTGAGGCGACGATACCGTGACGCCGCAGGCTAAATGGGTTAGTGAAAAAGGGTGACACAGCCAACATTTTAAGACACAGAAAGAAAAGACAAAGTTCAATCTTGCGCTTAGAGCTGAGTAGCAGGAAAACAATTGTAAAGAAACCATTAAAGACCTCAGGACAGTTTACAAACACCTCTCAATTTACTTTTGGTTGATGCTAGCAAGAAGCATCAATTTGCGTAAAACGCAAGGCTCCATCAACACAACCAATGTTAAAAAAGAGCGCCTTGATCTGGATCTATCTGAAATAAGTCGTTCATAATAGAGCACTTACTGATAGTACACTATTCCGTGGACAACGCTTAATACGTTGCTATGACAATATCTGACAATAAAAAGCTAAGCAGGACACAAGGCTAGGCTTTCTTAGCATTGATAGAGAAGAGGAGAGTCATACTTTGGAGGCATGATTTCAACTTACCTTACTGGCCGACACTCATACATTTATGCGTTGGATGCCATCAAAAAGGAAATCAAGACATAGTAGCAAACTAATCAATGAACGACTGACCAGAGTGCGCGAATCGAAAGACCTTGTCAGGTGGAATGGATATACCATTCATCACATTTCACAGCGAAGACCGAAAATCTACATCGTGCCACGCTCGCATTATCGTTTCGTTTTCATTCGCAAAGACTCTTGCAATAAGCGTGTCTGACATACTGCCGCATCTGCATGGATAGGTGTACTCATGCAGTGTAAATACTCACGGTTTTTCTTGTAGAGCAGGATCTCGAACTGGTCCTGGTTCTGGTCCTCGAGGCTCTCCTCGAACCGCGCGATGGTGTCCTTGTCGGTCAGGTCGCCGTACATGAAGCTGCATCTGCACGATTTCTGCATCACCTGCCGACGACAGAAAGAGGGAGCTGGTGTCAACAATCAGCGTTACAGAGCGCCTCAGAGGTTATGACTTTTTAGAATATTTGTTTGTGTTGTCATCGAATGTGAATAAACATAACAATGTATGACACGATGTAAGACACATGAGATTTTAAAAGGATGGACCAGCTGACAAATAGTCAGGGGAAGGAGGCCCAATTTTGGGCCGAATAACGCAAAATTGGGTAGAGCTTAGCAAACGGTGGTTTCTGGGACAAAAATGACCGCTGAACCCGAATCTGACCGGTGCGCACCTGTAAATAATGTTGCACCACTTCCAGAGCACGTGCAACTGCGTGGTTCATCTTTTTTGGAGAATGGTACCTTTTTAATTAATTTCAGTGTAACGTCGTTGATATTTGAGATATTGTTTTGATATTTTCCCCGTGTGCTTAAAACACATGACGTAATTGAAAGCTGAAGTTATGCAATGTTCGGGCAGCCGGTGACGTCACCGTGACGTCATTTACCTATAAATGAGTTGAAAAAGTCGTCTTGTCCTTAAAGCATTTAACTTTATTCCCGTCGTATGCAAATTTCAAGGAAATATCCATTCCTATGAATAACGGAAAGTCAGCGTGGGTTCAGCCTGAGTCGTTACGCGCGTTTAACAAGCGATAAAAAATGATCCAGAATTGTGCTTGTCATGAAGACTGGGAAAGAAAATAAACAGCTGTTGTTTATCAAAAAGGGCAAAAATCACCTTTCTAAGAAAGTGAAATATCTTGGATATTTGAGGACAACAATCTAAGATCGAAGCGAGACCACACGATAGACGATGCAGGTACAAAACAGTACCTACAAAAATGATCTGACAACCGAATGCCTCCTCGTAAACCTGTTTTGTGTGAAGTGCATTTTCTTGGGACTACATTGCAAGTGAAAATTCATTGGTACCAAAGGAGCATGGATTCATGATTGCCCTATAAAGTTGAAGCTTGGTGACACCTTCAACACGCATGCGGCTCGACACTATCAGATGTTCTTGGAACACACATGGAATCGTTTTAGACAAAGCTGCAGATTGATGATGACGGGCACGACGAGCTGAATATGGAGCTCTCCCAACTCGCCCGTCTGAGTCCAAAAGAGATTGAATAGTACCTGCAATCTGCATGCGGCTGCTGGAGAAGGGAGGGCCGGAGCTGGCAGTACGGGCCAAGGAGCTGGCAGGCCGGGAGTATGGACGCCTGACGCGACTCCCTCCGGACGATCCCGCTCGGAAGCTCATTGATAAGACACCGCCACCTAGACTGCAGTACAGAGCCCACCTTCATTGGATGCGGAAGAAACAGGAAGCCCAGGAGGTGGAAGTGCCGGCGCCGTCGCCACCAGATGAGGACGTTGCTGGCCTCCAGCATCGACCCTGTTTCCGACGAGTGGGGAAGTGGGTGTGCGAGGAAGCTGGACTGGGTGGAGTGCCCGTAGCCCCACTAACACTGCACCAGGGAGAACCGCCATGGAAGCAGTGCAACACCAACGTCGACTTCGGCTTGAAGCTTCCGAAACCTACCAAGAACCCACCAGAATTACGGAAGGCTGCAACCCTGGAGGCCCTGGCCGCTTACCCAAATCCAGACCTCACAATCTTGTCTGCTGGCTCTGCTCTAGACGGCACCAAGAAAGGCGGCGGAGGAGCCCTCCTCTGCACCGTGAGAGGCGCAAGATCGAATGTACCGTACCGGCAGAAGTCGTATGAAGTAGCATGCAGGCGGAGCTGGCGGCGATGGCGGAGGCGTTAAAATGTTTCCTGGGACTGCCGAAGCCATCCATCGCTGCCATTCGGTCTGTCCTGCTCTGCTCGGACTCCCTGTCCGGCCTCCAACTGCTCAGCCGAGGCCCGGCAGCGCAGGAATCGGCCCTGACACAGGGCATCTGGGCTCTCTTGCAATCTGCCGCGGCCGGGGGCAGAGCTAGCAGTCTCCAGTGGATCCCGGGCCACGCGGGGGTCGAGGGTAATGTACAAGAAACGGACCGCCTAGCAAACATCGCGGCGACATCAGGCGACCAGCGTCGGATCCCAGTTGACCTGGCCTGTGCGCGCATCGCCATCATGGACACTGAACCGGCCTGCTCACCCTCGATCGCTCCAAGCACCACCCACATCTGGAGAACACCCCTGGCCACGACGACCTCGACCGATGGGGACAGACCACTGTCTCGCAGATCCGCAGCGGCTGCTCACCCCTGGTCCGGCCACACTCTTCAGGATTGGCCTGGCCACCAGCTCTCTCTGCGGACAGTGCGGCGAAGAGAACACGGTCGCGCAACTGCTATGCGAGTGCCCGGCCGCACAAGAACGCGAACCTGGCTCTGGGGGCCGCTCCCCGCCCTCTAGGATGTGCTCTCGGGGCCGGCTAAATACGTCACGGAGTTCCTCGACCGAGTGGGGCGGACCACGCCACCTGTGGACCAGCCCCGGTCTGCCGCGCCCTAGGGCACGGCCGGCAGTGCGCGGAAGAAGAAGAAGGGAGAGCAGGCTGACGCATCGGAACAGGCGCATCTATCCGAGTCCTGCGGTCGAGAACGACCAGTCGCTCTGCTCCGTCGACCTGGCCGACGACTTCACGTACCGGCTGGTTGGCGGCTGGTTCACGTACCGGCTGGGACGCGTCCGCTGGATGGACGAGGCAGACGTCCTGGGCGAAGGCCACCGCCCAGGGTGCACAGTCACCGTGCCGGCGGCCGGCAGCCGAACGCCTCCTGATAGAAGCCGTGCTACATTATGTGTGTTCGCCTGTGCGTGTGTGTGTGTATTTATACCAGAAGAGATAAATACAACCAACCAGAATCAAATTCTCTCCGTTTAGTTGTTACGTGTTCTTCAATGCTCGGGTGTGGCGTCTAAAAACATGAATAACCACAAGACATTAATTAGAACTTGGGACATAACACATGTGAAACCCTCTGTGACGAAATTTACGCCCACCTTATTAGGTACAGTCCACAGCAGAAGCAGAAGTAATGTGGGGTTTCAGTCATGGGTATGTTCTGCTTCTGAAGCTTAGGAACGATTAACCAGACTACAATGAAACTTTGAATGTAACTTATATGTATCGTCACCCTTGCAGCTGCAACTTTAGCTATTGACATCTTCTTTTCGATCACTCCGCATTAAACAATCGCCAGTCAAAGCCAACCGTTGAGATTGGTAAAACCCTACATTACTTTAGCGGTGGGCTGTACGTATGCCAACGTAATGAACTAAAACTACGCCTGTTAAGCACACATCTAATTCTAAAATCTCACAAGCATACTGAATGCCTTACGAATGCTTTGCGGCGCCAATACATATATGAACGACTTCTATACCTACCTTTGAATTTTGTCATGTGACGTCCTGAAAACGTCATCAGCAGTTTTTCAGCTATAGCTTTTGATCAAACCACATAAGAACAATGAAAGCATTTTCCATGCGATTTTCTTGATAATCCAAAGCAATTGGTAAACTACATGACCATTTCCAGTAAGGTCATAACCTTCACTAGCGTGATTATCGACCTGAGCTCATGAACTGCGGTAAAATGTAATCTTAACCAATCGAAGCCAATTTGCATACTAGTCGATGCGTCTCGGTGAGAGAATCACAACGATGGTAAAATGGACGACATGGAAGCATTGTATCAAAAGTTATTGCACAAAAACTATTTGGGGTAAAAACGCACACTCCGCGGATTTCGCCCCCTGTCGGCCAAAATGGTACCTCCATCCAGACGATTTTCACTTTTTGAACGGGGAGATATTTTCTGAGCATGCTCAATGCATTTAAAACCCGCCAATGAGCGTATCCCGTGAATAAAGTTAAATGTTTTGTTGTCACACCTCATTTTCCCGTCAGTTTACGAATAAATGACGTCACAGTGACGTCATAGATTGTCTGCGATATGCGTTAACAAGGATTTTCATTTATGCAATGAATTTTGGCTCTAATATTAAAGTGTTAGAGGACAACACAACTACACGACTGATTTTATTTTTAAATATATAAAAAGGATACCATTCTTCAAAAAAGAAGAACCACGCAGTTGCACGTGCTCTGGAAGTGGTGCAACATTAGTTAGAGGTGCGCACCGGTCAGATTCGGATTCAGCGGTCATTTTTGTCCCAGAAACCACCCTTTGCTAAGCTCTACCCAATTTTGCGTTATTCGGCCCAAAATTGGGCCTCCTTCCCCTGACTAAAAAGGATATTTCGTAGAACACAGTTGATATGTGTGGATCGACATAAATACAGAGCTAAACCTCCTGCTCTGAGTCAAATATGTAACACAAATGACAAAACAAGTGGTCTCGGCGTAACCAAAATAGCCAAAATCAGGAGCGTATCAGTGTGTGCTGCTCCTCCATCCCTCTTATACCCTGTCTTCCCCACCCATTGCTCCTCTTCCTCTCTAGCTCTCTCTTTTTCTTTTCCTCTTTCTAATTAGCTTTCTCCCCCTCCATCTCCTTATTCCATCCACTCTCTTCCTCTCTTGCCCTTTTCCATCTTTCTCTCTCTCTCTCTCTCTCTCTCTCTCTCTCTCTCTCTCTCTTTCCCTCTCCCTCTCTTATTTTCTCTCTCTCTACCACTCTGAATTAAATATAACTTTGTATCCCCGTTGGCCCAGAGTCCGGCGTCAGTCAGGGTCAGCCACATTACTGCTTTACGGGCAGCCAGTGTAGTTGGTCTTCGGGCCGTCGGGTGCCAAAGGGACTGTGGACGGTGGTCGCTAGACGACCAATGGTCCGGAAAGTGAGTCAGCTTAAAATAGAGCACCAAATGGGGCGTCCGTAGACCGACAGAGGGTCGCGGTAAACAGTGGTTTACAAATAGGATGTCCGCCATTTATGATAGCGACATCACGTTCGCTATAGACAAATTGTGCGACTAAAACTGAGAATGCATGTTTATTGTTTAGCTATCATAGTGTGCTGTTTATAAAAAAAACATGCATATACATAAATGAATCTTCGCAGTCAATAGCA